AAAAAAAAAAAAAAAAAAAGAAAGTATACTATCAAAGATAGTAAGTGTTAACCAACAATCTAACACTGAAAATATTTGAATCTTAGTGTATCAGTTACCTATTGCTTTGTAACAGATTATCACAAATTTAGTGATTTCAAATAACCCAAATGTATTATCTTAGAGTTCTATATATCAGAAGTCTGGTACAGGTCTCACTAAAGTCAAGGTGTTAGCAGGTGCATTTCTTTCTGGAAGCTTCAGGGCAGAATCTGTTTCCTGCTCATCCAGGCTCCGGTAGAATTCAGTTTCTTGTAGTTGTAAAATTGAGTTTCCCATTTTCTTGCTGGCTGTAAAATGAAAGCCATTCCCACTTCTAGAGGCAATCACATCCCTTGGTTCACAGCCCACTTCTGCCATCTTCAAAGCCAGCAACAGCTCTCACACTTCAGATCTTTCCTCTCTCTTCTGTCTCTTTTTCCTGATCTACCCTTCTGTTTCCTTCTGCTTTTAAGAACTCATGTGATTAGATTGAGCCCACCTAGATAATCCAGGATAATCTCCCATCTCAAGGTACTTAACTTTAATCACATCTACAGAACTGTTTTTGCCCTGTGAGGCAACCTGTTATGGGTTTCAGGAGTTAGGATGTGACCCTTCAGAGAGCCATCATTCTGCCTTCTACATTTATGATGAAGCTCTTAATATGGGACTAAGCCTGAAAGGTTTAAATCCAGTTTACATGACAATTTTTGTTTTCCAGCATTAAAGGCTCACATCTGCACTGAACGTGACAAGAATTTGTATACACCCTGGAACAAATACCTCATAAATAGTGAAGAGTATCACAAAGATAACATTTAACTCTAATCCCTGACATGTAAACTATATTTTAAATTAAAATGTAAAATATATATTAAAATATATATAATACATTACCTTTAAAAATATTGACATTGTTTTAACTCAATTAGTAATGTATTTCTCCGTATGGCGGTATCTCTTTCCAACTTCAGCTCTTTCTTATCTTTTTAGTTCCAGATTGAAAAATGGCAGATTGCCCGTTGTAATAAGAGCAAGCCTCAGAAGTTTATTAATGACTTAATGCAAGTACTTTACACAAATGAATACATGGCCACTCACAGCCTGACAGGGGCAAAATCCTCTACTTCAAGGGACAAAGCCGTAAAACCAGCTATGAATCAGAATGAAGTTCAAGAAATCATAGGTGATACTATGATTGCATTACATTGTCATATGAATTTTAAATCAGGTTACTGCTCAAGATCAAGGTAGTCTTTCATGGTCCTTTTTTCTAGAAACGAAAAAATCTCAGGATAGTCTAAAGCTCTCGTTAAATGTGGAAGATTTTGTAGAAAAACTTTACACTAAAAATGGTTATTAAAATAAAGCTAAGTTTTATATCACCAAAAAGTCTGAATTCATACAATTTATAGCTTTGGAAACATAAATTTTCACAATCTTTTAAAGTAAAATTTCAATAACAATTTCTATCTTGCTTTTGTTATATTTCTTATCTTTTATTCTAGAAAGATAAAGGCTAATTTGACTATCCTATTTATAGTTTTTAAGTTAATGAATCTCCTTAAATATAATCTAGATTATCCAATTAATTTTTTCACAACATCCAATAAGTGTAGATTCTCTGAATCCTAATCTTATATATGTCATTTCTTAGTTGGAAAAAGACCAGTCAGAGTTCAGTTGTTTCAACTAATGCTAGAAATGGATCAAAATACATTCCTAACATTTTAGAGCAGGAAGACTTAGAGTTTAAACCAAGTAGGAGGCTTAAAATTAATTGCTACCATAGAATGTCAGTCAGTAATATAGACCTTCTGATAACTCCTGCTTTACTTAGAAAAACCTGCCTACATACTCATCTGTTTAAATCTCTCATGGCATGGGTGATTGGGCTGCTTTTGTAAAATGGAAACAAAATTATAATGTAGAATACTTGATGTTTTACCTCAGTTCATACCCTAAGATGTAAAGGACTCATAAAGTTTCTCGTGTGTTACTGTTGGTTTTTTACAGGAGTAACAAAACAATTATTTCCCAATACGGATGATGTTTCAATCAGGAGAATGATAGGGCAAAAGCTAAACAACTGTACCAAGAAGCCAAATTTAAGCAAAAATCTTAACTCTCAGGATATTAAATAGATCCTTTTGGTAAGTCTTTTAAATCTTCATCTTTCAGTGTGGCAAGAAAATGTTGTAATACTTTTATCTGTGGAATAGCATTTTCCAATTACTCTACTAGAAAATACTAGTGAGCTGTGAAAGGCTAATATGTATTCCTGGTGGCAAAAGCGGGGAACTGGGAGTGGGGCTTAAATTTGGAAAATGCTGGATTCAGTTTTTCTTTCTCAGAACCTCTCAGATGTTTTGATAACACTTTTAACATGCCCATTTGCACAATAAATCTCTAAGAAAGGGATATAGTATGTCGTGTTTTCCAAATGTGCTCTACTGAGGAAATTTTCTTCACAGAACTCCTGTTAACTTGGTGGGGACAGAAAGGAGCTAAAGGAAGGACACATGACAATTTAAGAAGTATTTCTCTCTAGAACAGAGGAGATTTAGACCCTTGGGAAATCTCTGAGGTACATCGATGAGATTGAATTTACAACTCAAATAACAATGGTCTCTGACATTTGCACAAACTATTGGCTGAAGTATGGAAGATTCTTCTCCACCAACCTACATTTGCTTCTCATGGTCTTTAAATTTTTTTTTTTTTTTTTTTTTTTT